TTTTCAAGCAGACATTCTGGAGCCAGGCTAATTAGGGGTTTACAGCCCTGGAGTACGATATGCACTTTTGACCTCAGTTCACTTACAGACTCACCTTCCATTTAAAAGGGAGAGGGAAGGAGGAAGAATCATGAGAGACAAAATGGTTGCCAGTGTCCATTTCTCTAGGCACACAATTGTCACAGGGACCATGGGGCAAGTCTCTTTTGCAACTCATTTCCCTGCACAGCAGCACAGTTATTGGTATCCAGTACAATCTCGGAAACACTGCACAATATAGGAAGACACTCTTTTCTAAGCTCACAGATCAGAATCTTTTTGAGGACAAGGGAATGGCCATTATCTGAGACCCTTTGACAAGTCCAAGCAGCCTTTGGCACTTACATCCCAAAGAGCACACAGTCATCAGGAGTTATTTCAAGGATATTACTCACAAGTCCCCAGGGCAGCTACCTCTGGACGCTAACCAGTGAGTCAGTCCATAGGTTCAATCCAGAAATAAAGTGCAGTGTAACCTCCTATATAAATACTATGTATGTGCTATGTCAAATAATGTGTGGCCTGTTCATGCAAAAACAAAACAAAACAAAAAATGTAAATAAATGTATCCACATGTACGTGGCAATCCCCAAGTGGGATCATGAAAATATATGTATCAATGGTTGATAATATGAATAAGTCTACTAACATAAATAAAGTGTAATGAAAACCAATATAATATATTATATAATATATATATCATATAATACCACTAACAATTGCTAAATCGTCCACGTCTACCAAGTGGGATAATATAAATATATGCACCAATGATTGATAAGAGGAGTAAATCAATAAATCCATACATAAAATCTAAAAATCTCATGCAATAATAGTTCAACACTACCGTTGTCCATTTGTACGTTTGTGCGCAATTAGCTTTATGCCATGATTAGAGATGAGCGAATCGAACATGGCGAAGTGGAATTCGTTTCGAAGATTAGGAAAAATTCGATTCACGCCGAATCCGAAAATTAGCAAACTTCGGATGCACGAATCGAATTTTCCCAAAAATGGCAGCGACATGTGTGGCGACGGAGCGGGGATCTCTGGGAAGGCGCGCAGACAAGGCGCGCTGACCCATAATGCATTCATTCATGACATGTGATCGCATTAGCCAATCAGCAGCCAGCCAGCCAGCACTGTGTAATGGTGGAGCTATAAATCGCGGCCATCTTAGAATTCTCCATTAGCCTCCGGTCATTCAAGAGAGACAGACCTGTCTGTATTAGGGACAGAGTTAGGGCCACAGAGACTTTAGGGCCACAGAATCGTTACTCAGGGCCACAGAATCGTTACTCAGGGCCACAGAATCGTTACTCAGGGCCACAGAATCGTTACTCAGGGCCACACACAGAATCGTTACTCAGGACACAGAATCGTTACTCAGGGACACAGAATCGTTACTCAGGGCCACAGAATCGTTACTCAGGGCCACAGAATCGTTACTCAGGGCCACACACAGAATCGTTACTCAGGGGGACACAGAATCGTTACTCAGGGACACAGAATCGTTACTCAGGGACACAGAATCGTTACTCAGGGACACAGAATCGTTACTCAGGGACACAGAATCGTTACTCAGGGACACAGAATCGTCACTGAGGGACACAGAATCGTCACTGAGGGACACAGAATCGTCACTGAGGGACACAGAATCGTCACTGAGGGACACAGAATCGTCACTCAGGGACACAGAATCGTTACTCAGGGACACAGAATCGTTACTGAGGGACACAGAATCGTTACTGAGGGACACAGAATCGTTACTGAGGGACACAGAATCGTTACTCAGGGACACAGAATCGTTACTGAGGGACACAGAATCGTTACTGAGGGACACAGAATCGTTACTGAGGGACACAGAATCGTTACTGAGGGACACAGAATCGTTACTCAGGGACACAGAATCGTTACTCAGGGACACAGAATCGTTACTCAGGGACACAGAATCGTTACTCAGGGACACAGAATCGTTACTCAGGGACACAGACACAGAATCGTTACTCAGGGACACAGAATCGTTACTCAGGGACACAGAATCGTTACTCAGGGACACAGAATCGTTACTTTCTGCTTCACAACCACTATTGTATGTTCAAAGAGTTAAATCCTGTTTTATGTTTGGGGTGCTTATTGAATTAAAGAGTATGTCACACAACACGCAGAGGAGTGGCAGAGGAGGCAATGTTTCAGGAGCGAGCAGACGTGGCAGCAGAGGAAGGGGTCGAGGCAGCACTAGTCACAGCCAGAGGCCAGTGCTCCCGGTGTCATCCAGCGGTCGTGTCTCCACCGACAACCCTGCCGTCATCGATTGGTTGACTCGGTCATCTTCCTCTTCCCAGGTCACCTCTGACACCTACAGCCCGGTCGGTGGGTACGTCAGACACAACCGTTAGTTGGCATGGCCCGGGAGCAAGCCCACTGAAATCACGTGTCCTCTACCTGCCCCTGTCCTTTGGTGTTCCCTCACCAAGCAAAGTATCGCATGTTGTGGGCTCAGCCCCACTGTACAGTGAGGAAGAGCTAACAGAGGGCGGTCAGGAACGGGGGGGAGACATCCGCCTCTTCAGCAGCCAGGCGAAGAAGTACTGGCGAAGAGAGTGGCTCGGTAGCCGGTCTAGAGACAGGTCTGTCTCCTGACCCACACGCAGCCGAGGGGGCTAGTAGTGACGCGGAGACCCTAATTGATGATGATGAGGCTGATCGCACTTGGCAGCCTCGTCGTCATCAGGCTATTGCTTCCGCATCATCAGGAGAAGAGGGTGCCAGCTTGCCAGCGAGCAAAACAGTCGGTGGGTTGCCCAGGAGGCAGCAGGGTCGCAGCAGTGTCAGTGGAGGCAAACGGCCACGGAGTAGAGCACCAGCTCCACTGCAACCTACCACCACGGCCAGTAGTGGTGCCGGTGTGCACGGAGGAAGTAGCAGTCAGCCAGTGAGGAGTAGCGGGGGCAAAGTTTCCTACTCGGCGGTGTGGCAATTTTTCGTCAAGCCGCCCGAGGAAGTAAACGTAGCCGTATGTCGACTATGTGGCCAGAAAGTCAAGCGTGGCCAGGGGGCCCATGTTGGGACTACAGCGTTGCGTCAGCATATGCAGCGTCGCCATTCGGTGGCCTGGGAAAACCGTGATAAAGATACGGCGGTTCTGCCTGCCCCAGCCCCCGCTTGCCATCACCCGCTCCGTTACTTGCTCCGTCACTCGACGTCAATCGCCCTCTATCAGCCAGTCAAGGCTCCAACACCTCTGCTGAGGGGAGTTGTCGCTCGTTGGCATCTTCCGCTCGTTCAGATGCTCCTTCTCCTGCTACTCCTCTTCACGGATTCCGTCAGCAGTCTTTCTTGGAATCCGACGGTGCAGAAGCTGAACGTCCTCCTGTCCAAGTTGCTGGTGCTGCAGTCCCTCCCTTTCCAAGTGGTTCACGTGTTCAATCTGGTTGTCAAGCGGTTCCTAAAATCCACCATCCCACTGCAAGACATCCTTAAAATGTCACGTAAACTTTGCATGCATTTCAGCCATTCCTACACCGCAAAGCACACCCTCCTTGAGCTGCAGCGGCAGAACGGAATTCCACAGCATCGCCTGATCTGCGACGTTGCAACAAGGTGGAATTCAACCCTACATATGTTAGACCGCCTTTACGAACAGCAAAAGGCCATCACCGATTTCCTGATGTTACAAGTGGATAAAGGTACTCCCCTGTGTAACTTAGATGTCAGCCATTGGCAGCTCATGCGCGACACCTGCCGCTTGCTCAGGCCCTTTGAGGAGGCCACGCTATTCGTGAGTCGGCAGGACTATGGGATGAACGACGTCATTCCTCTGTTGCACGTCCTGGAACAAATGCTGTTAACAATGGCTGGTCAGGGTGCGGTAGACGTGGCGCACAGATCTCAACGCCACATGACCCCTGTGGGGGCAGGACAGGAAGAAGAGGAGGAGGTAGAGGAGGACATTGGTGCTCAGGAATTATTGAGTGAAATGGGTGGTTTTTCCACTCAGCGGACAGGAGTGGAGGAGCAGGAGCATCTGGTAGGAGGAGGAGGAGGAGACAGAGGACCCAGACGCACCGTGGCAGTATGCTGTGGAGATGGAGGCAGGGAGTCCCTCGCATTCCTTGGCACAAATGGCCCATAGCATGCTCGGTTGCTTGCGTAGCGACAGCCGAATAATAACCATCAGACAGAGGGATGACTTTTGGCTGTCCACCTTGTTGGACCCTCGCTACCGTTCAAAAATGGTGGCCTTTTTCACACCTGCTGAGAGGGAGGCCAAAATAAAGTACTATAAAAACCACCTATGTAGTCAGTTGGTCTCTGCCTTTCTGCGCCAACGTCCATCCTCAGACACTGTGGGCCCTGTGCGCTCGCGTTCCGCTGCCATGGCAGCAGGGGAGGGGTGGGGTGGTAGGAGCAGTGGCAGCTCCACCAGCAGCGGCTGCCTCTGTCTGCAGTCGATGATGAGTAGCTTTCTTCGCCAGCGCAGTGAGGAAACTACTAACCAGCCGCAGCAGCAGCAGCATCAGGTGGACCTGGAGCAGGACCTCAAACAACAGGCTCGGGCTTACTTGGACAGCACCCTGCCAACCGAGGTAGACAATCCCCTTGACTACTGGGCAACGAAACTTGACCTTTGGCCCCAACTAGCTGAATTTGCCCTTGAAAGGCTGTCATGCCTGGCCAGTAGCGTGGCATCGGAGCGCGTGTTTAGTGCGGCAGGAGATATTGTAACTCCGCAGAGGACACGACTGTTCCACCCAAAGTGTGGAGAGACTCACGTTTGTGAAAATGAATCAGGCGTGGATTAGTCTGGATTTCAAACCACCAGTTCCTGACACAACTGACTAAATCCGCCATGAATCATGCCCCAAACATGTTATTATTTTTAACATAGGCCTCTGTATGGCCTTCAATTTAAGCTGCTTACGCTTCGCCACTCTGCCATGGGCCCCTGTACCGCCTCCTCTTGCTGCTGCCAGGTCCAGAGTGTCTCATGGGTCCCTGTACGGCCTCCCATTGCTGCTGACTTCATCGCCAGACTCTGCCATGTGCCACTTTCAGGTCTCCTTACACTGTTGGTGGGTTCCATTTTGTGATAGGGTGCTGTATGGCCTTCCATTGCTGCTGCCTCCACCGCCACCCTGCGCCATGTGCCTCTGTCGTCTGCTCTCGCTGCTGACGGCTTCCGCTTTTTAACCGAGGCCTGTGTTTGGCTTCCGAATACTGCTGCATCCACCGCCACCCTGCGCCATGTGTCTCTGTCGTCTGCTCACGCTGCTGACGGCTTCCGCTTTTTAACCTAGGCCTGTGTATGGCTTCAGAATAATGCTGCCACACCGCCACCCTGCACCATGTGCCTCTGTCGTCTGCTAACGCTGCTGCCAGGTCCATACTGATTCATGGCCCCCTGTACCGGCTCCTCATGAACGTGGTTCATGACGACTATCAAGAGTCCAATGGCAGAGTGGCGGAGCAGAAGCAGCTTCAATTGAAGGCCATACACAGGCCTAGGTTTAAAAGTCCCTCACAGTTAATTCCAATAACGAACTCTACTCCTCCGTGCAATCTACTTACGAGACCCTGGGCAGGTCTGGGTCCAATTTGTGGTAGAGACTGGTTTTGTTCAGCCATGCTTGAGCGAGTAATAACAGGTCTGTGCTGCCCTTTGGTGTCTGGCTTAATGCGCACAACACTGAACGTCCCAGCGTTTGTCAACGATTTGCCGTTAAGTGATGCAAACCCGCTGAACCACGTTCATGAGGAGCCGGTACAGGGGGCCATGAATCAGAATGGACCTGGCAGCAGCGTGAGCAGACGACAGAGGCACATGGCGCAGGGTGGCGGTGTAGGCAGCATTATTCTGAAGCCATACACAGGCCTAGGTTAAAAAGCGGAAGCCGTCAGCAGCGTGAGCAGACGACAGAGACACATGGCGCAGGGTGGCGGTGGATGCAGCAGTATTCGGAAGCCAAACACAGGCCTCGGTTAAAAAGCGGAAGCCGTCATCAGCATGAGCAGACGACAGAGGCACATGGCGCAGGGTGGCGGTGGAGGCAGCAGCAATGGAAGGCCATACAGCACCCTATCACAAAATGGAACCCACCAACAGTGTAAGGAGACCTGAAAGTGGCACATGGCAGTCTGGCGATGAAGTCAGCAGCAATGGGAGGCCGTACAGGGACCCATGAGACACTCTGGACCTGGCAGCAGCAAGAGGAGGCGGTACAGGGGCCCATGGCAGAGTGGCAAAGCGTAAGCAGCTTAAATTGAAGGCCATACAGAGGCCTATGTTAAAAAGTCCCCCCAGCAGCAGCGTGGGAGACGTAATCTGCCATGGGCCCCCGTACCGACTCCTCATGCTGCTACCAGGCCCGTAATCTGTCATGGGCCCCTGTACCGCCTCCTCATGCTGCTGCCAGGTCCAGAGTGTGTCATGGGTCCCTGTACGGCCTCCCATTGCTGCTGTCTCCATCGCCACACTCTGCCATGTGCCACTTTCAGGTCTCCTCACACTGCTGGTGGGTTCCATTTTGTCATAGGGTGCTGTATGGCCTCCCATTGCTACTGCCTCCACCGCCACCCTGCGCCATGTGCCTGTCGTCTGCTCACGCTGCTGACGGCTTCCGCTTTTTAACCGAGGCCTGTGTTTGGCTTCCGAATACTGCTGCATCCACCGCCACCCTGCGCCATGTGCTTCTGTCGTCTGCTCACGCTGCTGATGGCTTCCGCTTTTTAACCTAGTCCTGTGTATGTCTTCCGAATACTGCTGCCTCCACCGCCACCCTGCGCCATGTGCCACTTTCAGGTCTCCTTACACTGTTGGTGGGTTCCATTTTGTGATAGGGTGCTGTATGGCCTTCCATTGCTGCTGCCTCCACCGCCACCCTGCGCCATGTGCCTCTGTCGTCTGCTCACACTGCTGGCGGCTTCCGCTTTTTAACCGAGGCCTGTGTTTGGCTTCCGAATACTGCTGCATCCACCGCCACCCTGCGCCATGTGTCTCTGTTGTCTGCTCACGCTGCTGACGGGCTTCCGCTTTTTAACCTAGGCCTGTGTATGGCTTCCGAATACTGCTGCCTCCACCGCCACCCTGCGCCATGTGCCTCTGTCGTCTGCTCACGCTGCTGATGGCTTCCGCTTTTTAACCGAGGCCTGTGTTTGGCTTCCGAATACTGCTGCATCCACCGCCCGCCCACTGCTGCTGCCAGGCCCGTAATCTGTCATGGGCCCCTGTACCGCCTCCTCATGCTGCTGCCAGGTCCAGAGTGTGTCATGGGTCCCTGTACGGCCTCCCATTGCTGCTGTCTCCATCGCCACACTCTGCCATGTGCCACTTTCAGGTCTCCTCACACTGCTGGTGGGTTCCATTTTGTCATAGGGTGCTGTATGGCCTCCCATTGCTGCTGCCTCCACCGCCACACTGTGGCTCCACACTCTGGTTTTGGCCCCGTGACTGCCCAAATGAGTGAAGTGTGCGGTGATTCTAAGATCGACGGCACTCATCTGCATGTCATACTGACTGACAGTATTAGTTCTCTTCCCCAGCAGACTCCAAGGGCATTTAAATTAAAGGTACAGTGTTCTGCACTAATATAAAGGCTTTCTGAAGCCTAGAAACACCCCTTTTTATAAGTTAAATTCGCAGCGAATATATTCGCCTCGAATCAAATTTATTCCGCGAATTCGGCGAATCAGCCAAATCGAATTTTTGAATAATTCGCTCATCTCTAGCCATGATAATGTATCCAAATGTGAAAAACTACTACTGTTACGTGATTCTCACCTTCTACACCATCTACTTACCTATGGATATGACTTAATGCATGGTAAGGTCAATCTGTACCTTACCAATCAAGCTTGGCTTCTGTAATCCCAGGTGTAACCGTCTCCTCCCTATCTGTAAGCGTTAACTTCTCCTACCAAACCACACATTAGATCTTCTCTACATCAGCAAAGTTGCTTCAAGAGAAAAGATAGCTCTCATTACACAATATATTAATTAAAATGTCCAAATTTATTTAAAAGCCATATAAAAACACTCACAAACAAGGTGCACTGTATCACAATGCACTCAGATATATTGTTTCTTTAATAGACATTGGTACATGTGTAAAAAAACATCACATCCAGTAACATTCCTAGTGTGATGACATCCTATGGCCAGTCTCTTGACGCTTTTTGTCACTTTACTGTGACTTTTTCAAAGGAAGATGGCTGTGACACTGTTCCTCTACTATTTATACCAGATTCCTATTTAATATCACTAGGCAACAGGAACCATTTTTCCAGATACCAGAGAAAAACACTGGAGGCCACAGAGGAAAGCCATATTGAAGCCCATCTCCCTTACCAGCCTCCATTCTATTGAAGTCTTTCATTGTTAATGTGCCGTCTGCTATATACAGGACTCATAAACATAATCAGCATGTAAGTAAGTAGTACATTGTGGGTGGGTGGTCCACAAGTAGTTAAAGTATATAAGTAACTATTGTATGCTTGTCCTAGTATCCACCCTCACTTGACGACTTTTCAATGTATTACTCATGGTTTTAGAAGAGGCACCTGAACCTCCTTTGATATACAGTACTAATTAAATTTACTTGCACCCAATCCTTAAATCTAATAGGACCCCAAAAATCCTTTGTAACTGTGGAAATCTACAAAGCAAGCATTATAAGGAGCATGTTACTAGTATTAATTTATTGAGGCTCGATCCCTAATTTGAAAAGAACTCCCAACAGCCAAATGCAATTTGTGGAAATCCTCATTACAGTATAATTTAAAAAAAAAAAAAAACGCAGTCCAAATATTGGACAGCAACTAAATAAATACAAGTACAGCTCTCTCACCATTTATAAAGTTTAGAAGTGTCAATTCATTGTACTGTATATATTTAAAGCATGATAAAACAAGCATACACACACATTACACATCACCAAAAAGTGTATTACACATACAAAATATAAATTAGTCCATCTATATTTTTGCTTTTTTAAGCCAAAAAAATGATCCATTGTTCATTGTACTCCGTGCACTAGTTACTATCTGTGTATTCCATTACAATCTCCTCTCTGAAGGAACTGCACACATGTTCTCAACTGGACCTAAACCAATGTATATGTAAATGTGCACTATTTACATATACTCGCAGTCTTTGAAACAACAAAACTATTCTCAAGATACTTTTCAGGTGCTAGACCAATGACAACATATGGCTTTTATAAAAACATTTTTTATTTTTACAAAATTTGGTTACAAATTATGGCTAGGTATGACTAACTCCTAAAATATTCCCAATTCACATGAAATGTGGTATACATTCTAGTTTTAAACCAGACTACACAATCAGCACGTCACTCTTGCCTAAGAGTTCCCCACACAGACCACTTCATAACTCATTAATCATTTATTAACACAAAATACAACTTTTGCTTAAGTCACGGAGTAACACTAGATAGTCTGATGGAGAGTGGGTGACACTTTATTGCACATTCACACCATGGTACAGAGCCATCAGTTTTTCTGCATCAATTCTGCAAGGGCACAACAAAATCAATTGTTCTCTATGTCCCCTGTTCACAACACTAGTATCACATGCAGATTTTTTTCTGTGCAGGAATATGCAACGTGTATAAAACTCATTGAAGTGCGCATGAAAACTGATGGAAACTGATGTCTCTGCAAGTGAAATCTGCACATCAGTTTCCATCAGTTTTTCTGCACATATGGTGTGAACGAGGCCATAGGCCTCTTTCAGATGGACATCAACCTTTCAGTCACTTTTTTTTGGAGGAAAATTGATTAATTTGAGATCAGTTTACATCAGTTTATGCATCCGTCTTCCATTCAGCTTAGGCCAGTTTACATCAGTCTACATCCATTTGCATTTCAGTTCCGTTTCGTTCCTTTCCGTTTTGCATCCGTTTTTATCTGCTTTCTTCCATTGTCTTCCACTTTCATCCACTTTTTCATCCATTTAGATCCATTTTGATATCAGTTTACATCCATTCTGTTTTCCGTTATTATAACAAATTAAAAATGACACTGTACACATGTGTAAAAAAAATGCATTTATTGTGCATCAATCATAATGTGATATGTCTATATTGAATTTATAATGATTGTGATTGTATTTTTCTTTTTGTCAATATTTTTTCTAAATATATATTCGGATATATCAGTTTGATAGCCTCCTCCCCCCCCAATTAAAAAAAACACACACACACACACTGCATTTTTGTTATTCTTTTATTTCTAACAGAAGGAAAAGGTGAAGGAGAAATCGACGAGGGAGCGCGGACCTAGTTTCTTAGGCTTTCTGATTGAGATGAATCATAAGATTGTGAAAGGGGGTTGGAGGAACTACCCTGGGTGGTCTGACTTGGTGAGGAGTAACCAGGTGGTCGCTGTAATGAGCTGAGTGGCTGGAACTGGTGTTGCTGTGGATAGCTTTGTTAGTGGTGTTGCTGTAGATAGCTTTGTTAGTGGTGCTGCTGTGGATAGCTTTGTTGGTACTCCTGTGGATAGTTTTGTTGATAGGGCATATTTTGAAGCAGGGGACCTTCAAATTGGCCTTGCCGGTAGGGCCTCTGAGGGGGATCAGCTGTGCCTATAGTTGGTAAAGAATTTCCTAACATGGCAACCCTTACACAAGCACCAGTATAATTGTAAATGGCCATTTGGACTTCTATCTGCCTCTCACTAGGTGTTTTATCTAAGAGATGATATATATTTTGAAGGAATGCAGCATTGGCATTTTGGCCATCGTTAAAAGGATCCCTTCTCTCCTCTCTGCGTGAGCTTCTCATTTCTTCCATGAAGAAATGGCTGTGTCCATTTCCTCATTTTGAGCCCTTCTTGTTTGACGAGAGGCTCTAGATGAGCTTGCTCTCTGATAGCCCTAACTCTAGCCCTAACTCTAGCCCTAACTCTAGCCCTCTAACCTAACTCTAGCCCTAACTCTAGCCCTAACTCTAGCCCTAACTCTAGCCCTATCCTTAGCCCTATCCGTAGCCTTATCCTTAGCCCTAAATACACAAGGTCACAATACATAACAGAAATGCAAAAATTAGGGTCATGCTTCAGAGCCGTTAAACTTACCACATTTATCCCGATGCCATTGCTTCATGTTTGCCCAATCTGATGTCACAGCCTCAAAAATCTAATTCCACAACTGATGTTTTGTCACCTTGTTACTGTATTCTCTACAAATGTTGTCCCACAGGCCAGGCCTGGCATGCACAAGGTTGATGAGAGTCTCATGAGGGACATCTCAAGCCATGTTGTCAAAAGTGAAACTAAGGTGCATGTCACTTCCTTTGTTGATCATTGCCTGGGTCATGGGTTGAGTTTTGTGTTCTAAAATCAATATAAATTATTTAAATTGAAATATCTGTGAAAAAAAGGGGTCTTAATGGAATGGATGTAAATGGATGGTCCATTTACATCCGCTTACAAGCCTTCCATTCCACTTCAATGGATCTGGACGCAGGAAACTGCAGTGCCCGGGGGACGATGTCAGTAGGGGGCCCCATGAGATACCCCTGGTACCTTTTTCATAGGCTTTTTTGAGTTTGGGCAAGGACGCAGGGCCCCCCGTGATCCCCTATTGCCCGGGTGCCCCATGAGTTTTCAGTCCGCCCCTGAGGGAGACTCCTCTCTTTGTCACAAATGTCAGGCTGTAGATGGTGATATTTTCCACATAGTTTTGGGTGTGCCAAAATTAAGCCTTTCTGATTACTGAACTTGGTTCTTAGTGCTTATCACCTAATGCTTGCAACTCTTTATTATTGGTGTGTGTGAGATTATCTTTGTTATTATCTCACAAATTGGTTTCTAGTTTATGCAACCCAAAGTGGTGTCTTCTGGGTGAGTTTAGTGTAGACCTTGGGACAGTTAAAAAAATATTTTCTAAGACTATTTCTGTTTTACACCAGGAAAACTATTGTCCTGAATTGGACATCTACTGGGATAGGATAGAGAGAACACAGCGGCACCACTGTAGATTGTTAAAAAGCAGGCAGATTTATTGATTAAAAACACTCACAAGTGTAAGGTAAAAGCAGCCATGTCAGGATTAGATAGGTTTGTATGGTCCGGTGATGCTAGGTGTCATGTGCAATCCTCTTCATCATCCCTGCTGCTCTGGTGGTTTGCAGGGCTTGGAGGGCAGCAGAGAGGCGCAGGGAGGCTCTGGATAGTGGCGTCACTTGGGACCGGGACTCCAAATATGGCGCCCGTTTGGAGCATGTGCGCTTCTTCCTCAGGCGGGCCTGCGGGTTTAATGCTCTGCCTGCCCTCACTGCCCATATAAGCCTCACTCATGATGGCTGCTGGATTGGCCTGAGGAAGCATTGTGCATGATCTGAACGCATTCCATATTTGGAGTTCCGGTCCCGAGTGACGCCACTATCCAGAGCCTCCCTGCACCTTTCTGCTACTCCCCAAGCCCTGGAAACCTCTGGAGCTGCGGAGATGATGAAGAGGACCTCACATGACACCTAGCATCACGGGACCATACAAACCTATCTAATCCTGACATGCCTGCTTTTTCCTTACACTTGTGAGTGCTGTTAATCATTAAATCTGCCTGATTT